TAAAATACGCTCAATGAGAATATAAATATTATCACCGGTGTGTCTATCATTAAATTCAAGAAAAGCAAGAACACGTTTATGCATACACCAATCATCATCAATATAATGTGCAGTCAAACCCAAATAATATAAATGATGATGAGTATCCTCCCATATATCACTACATATACTAACACGTCCATCAAAGTTTGCAAAAAACGTTTGTAATTTTTGCTTTTCCAAAACATATTGCCTTATAACTTCTTTTTTAATTGTTTTGCGACTATAGTTTGGAAATTGGGGATTTAAAGAACCTTGAGCATATTCTTTTAAAGCAAGACTTTCAGAAAAAATAAAAGGCAAATTTTCTTCAACAATTAAATGAGACATACCAGTCAAATGTCTTTGATCATCATAGGAGAAATTACCAAAGGGTTGGCCAGTTGCAAACCTTGAAATTTGTGTTTGCCTTCCCTTGCCTTTGTCCGATTTCACATATTCCGCCGGGTGCTTGGCCTTAAGATGCCTTGTGGCACTCCCGTACCCTCCAAAAATTCCCAAGTTATACTTTTTGTTGCAATGCTTGCAAGTGGCGTACCATATCTCGGTCTCGAGGTCTTTAACTTTTATAAAATTTGCATTAAAGACAGATTCAGATTTCCCACCGGCTTGGGAAGAAGTAGCCACTTCCGCTTCCTCTTCCTCATCATCCGGTGTGCCATGAATGTCGTCCTCGACCGCTCGCGGATCCCTCTCCTCCGCATCATCATCCTCAAGCTCTTCTTCGTCAATGGTTTGCGGGATGTCTTATTGATGAAAAAAACCTCCTTGATTTTGTTGCAATAGTTGTTCTAGTTGCTCATCGGACATCGCATCCCCATATCTTTGGTTATAATCCGCATCAAAATCATTTCGGGTTTGAGATGAAGACCTCGGCCCTCCCTTACCTTTGCGTGACCTTGGATGATTCTTCGCAATCTCCTTTGTTCGGTTGCGGTGAAGGTTACCCATATCTACAGAAGCTCTACCACGCTCCATATTAAAAATATAACAAATATTAAATTCGAATAACAATTAAGCAATTAATTTCGAATTAACTAGTTTACCAATTAACTAAAATTCGAACTATTTGTTTTACAATCTAACAACTTTATTTAACAAGTTTAACAATTAACTAGTTTTTATAGAGAATATTAATAAATGTAACAATTAACTACTATGATAAGAGATTAATAAATGAACCAATTAACTAGTTTAAGAATAAAACAATTTATTTCGAATTAACTAGTTTACCAATTAACTAGTTTTTATAGGAGATTAATAAATGTAACAATTAACTACTATGATGAGAGATTAATAAATGTAACAAACTAACAATTAACTAGTTTAACAATTAAACAATTAATTTCGAATTAACTAGTTTTTATAGGAGATTAATAAATGTAACAATAACTACTATGATAAGAGATTAATAAATGTAACAATTAACTAATTTAACAATTAAATAAATAATTTTGAATTAACAAAATTTGAACTATTTGTTTTACAATCTAACAACTTTATTTAACAAGTTTAACAATTAACTAGTTTTTATAGGAGAATAAAAAATGTAACAATTAACTACTATGATAGGAAATTAATAAATGTAACAATTAGATAATAAGTGTATAAGTAGATATACTTAATATATATATATTAGTAGATATACTTAATATATATATATATATATATATATATATATATATATATATATATATATATAAGTAGATAATAAGTAGATTAACTAGTAATATATAAGTAGATATACTTAATATATATATATATATATAAGTAGATAATAAGTAGATTAACTAGTAATATATAATATTATGTTTATAGTATATATAATATAAGTATATTACTATAAGATTAGTAATACACTTATATATAATACTTTAATCTATATAAGTATATATTAAGTATATCTAAAATGTAAATATAAGTAAATAAATTAGAGATGATTATATGTGTAAATATAATATAATATATGTAGTTATAAATTTGAGAAGATGAAGATGGAGAAGATTACTAGAGAATAGAGATTAGAGAGTAGAAATATTTGGAGAAGATATGTAGTAAATTGTATAGAAAAAATGGAGTATTTATAGTTTTTTGTATCCCCACCCCACCTAACCCACCCCGGGACCCCCAGGAAGGCTCCCAACGGCTATATAGCCGTTTGGGTTCAATCACAACGGCTCTAAGGCCTGTTTGGATGACCAAAAGATTTTTTTTTTAACTAGCCGTTGGCCCGAACCGGGCCCGAACCGGCTGGGCCGGGCCTCCAATTTCCAGAACCGTGCCCGAACCGCTCCCCTCCCCCGGGCCGGGTCAAAGCCCGAACCTCCCTATCCTTAACTGGGCCGGGCCGGGCCGGTTCAGGGTCGGGCTGGCCCGGTTTGGTCCATCCCTATGTTTATTTAAATAGGCTTAATTCGAGCAAATTGAAAATGTGCAACAGAATAGCTCCATTGTGCACCACGTTGATTTAAATGTGAGTGTTCTCACGTTCTCACGTTAAGCATCGTCCTCACAAAGTTGGTCTTGTTCGTAAGAGAACATACCTGCAGCGGAAGGTAGCAATTTATTCCTAACATGACCGATTGATTGAAGCGTGAAGATCCTACCGTACAAGAATTTGTTAGCCGAACCCATTCATTTTTGCAAGTTTAGTTTGGGGTGGGATCGGTCCGGTCCAGGTCGAATTTTTGCTAAACCCAGAAATTACCCGTAAGGTATCGGGTTATGAAAATTAGGGACCGAAACAAAGCCCACTACATTCGGTCCAAGTCGGGTATTTTGTAATCCGGATTCGGTCCGGGTTCGGGTTGGGCCTGTTAAAGCCCGAATATGAAATTGCTCATATTTCTTTTATAATTTAAAATCTATTTTGAAATAAAATTAATAAAAAGTACAAACCGAAATAAAAATTAATAAAAAGAACAAATATTAGTTTCCAATACCACCAAGAATTCAAATCCAAACAAGACAATTATCATAATATTTTGTTTAAGATGCATAAAAATAAATAATATTGGTGTTCTACATAAATATGTTACTATAAATATGTTTTCATGGTCATTATGGTAAATAAATTGAACATATTTCTAGTCACTAATGGTTATAAAGTCATTTTTTCATCCATCATGATTATAATCATATATTAGGAATTAATTTATAAATTATATTGGTATATTATACTCCCTCCGGTCCTAAATAAACTTCACACTTTCCTTTTTGGCTAGGTCCAAAATAAACTTCACACTTCTTCTCCCTTACTTATTTGGCAAATTATCTACATTAAAACAATGCAAAACAGTGCCAAACAATGCCAAACAGTGTCAAACAGTGTCACAACAGTGTACTCTACAGTAAAGTCAAATTTATTTCCTTAATTTGTGTGAAGTCAAAGTGTGAAGTTTATTTAGGACCGGAGGGAGTATTGATTTTATATTAAAGCTAATTATTTCGGGTTCGGTCCGAGTTTGATTAGGGCCCGTTAATGAGCCCGAAATTTTGGGTTCAGTCCGAGTTTTTTTATTCGGGTCGGTCAAAAAGAAAAAACCCGGACGGATATCATAATTCGGGCCGGACTAGGGCCGGTTTCCAGGTTTGGGTTCGGTTTTTCCCACCACTAAGTTTAGTGATTTAAACGTTATTTGTTGTGTATATATAGTAGATTAATGTATTAAACCCTTTGCTTTTACATCAGTGATTTCTCATTCCAACTTCAATTTCTTTTTCTCTAATCTCCATACACTTTAGAGCTTTACATTATAAAAAAACAAAATCAATAATATGGTCTTCAATACTAACTTCTCAGCTGATTAGGAAAGAAGATCAGAACTGTGAACTCAAGTTATGAAACAAATTCTTCCATTATTTACACCATCATCGGATGCAATTCGGTAAGTCTCTCCACAAACTTGTCCAATTGTAATGAAATGTTGATGTTGATGTTTTTAATTTTATTTCACATCTACTAATTTCATCTTTGCTGAATTAAATGGAATTGCAAGTTACAATATAATAACATAATTCAAATTACTTCAATGGAAAACTCAGGAGTAAAAAAGTATAGCATGGTTAATGATGTTTTTACTTAGACTGTAATTTGTTAGTCTGGTCTGATCTGGTCTGGTTTATTCAAATCTGGTCCGGTCTGGTAAATGTTTGGTCTCATTGTATTTTATAACTACAAAAATCTAGTCTAATCTAGTCTGGTCTAGTTTGTTTAAGCCTGATCCGATCTGATCTGATCTGTTTAAGTCTTGTTTGATCTGTTCTGGGACTGAAAACAATCCAAGTAAAAACATCCTAAAAATGTGCATTGATTACTTATTCAAAGGGGAACAAATATAATAAAACATCCTACCCGGTTTACTCAAGCTATGATTCCCCTCAAAAGCTAGTAACCGGACTCGAATGCTATAAGTCAGCACAGCCAGATGTAAAGTCATACCCTCCTTATCTCCAACGGACTATCCATTTTCACAATAAATACAACCGGATGCTCTCAACCAATGTAGGTGTGCCTTCAACGAATGTTATTTCTTAACTCTTTCTATTGTGACTTTATCTTGTACTTTTCTTTATCGATCTTTGTACTTGTAAACCTTTTCTTAATAAATTGGAAAGTGTTCTCCGGCGCTTTCCCCACTCTCAATGGCATTTCTGGGATTAAAAAAAAAGTGAAACACCGTTTTTCCTTTGACCGACACATTAATTTCTTGGTTTAGGTTGAGTGAATTATATGAGTAATATGAATATAATATTTGAATACATAGTTTTTTATTTACAAAACTACGAAATAAAAAATAATGAACTTTATGAAGGGGAACACAAAAAAAATGTCGCAAATTTTATAAACATGTATTAGTTCAATCTAGCATTCTAGACCTTTAATGTAAATTGAAAAGCCACCCACATCACCCACTCACACAAGTAAAAAAAGAGAACCAATGTCAAACAAATAGAAACTCCAGAAACAAAAATGGCCATAAATCAAAGAACCAACGGGTCATACTCCTCTCCATTTCCTTCTCTCCATTTACTCTCTCCATTTCTTTTTCACTCTATCTCTCTCCTTAAAAATAATAATTAAACATAATCTTTTCTTTTTCCCTACCCCACCATTTCCCCACCTCTCTCTATCTCTCTCCTACTGGACCATTCCAGTTAATGGAGAGGAGCAAAATCCAGAACCAACACCAAACTCCAATAGTCTATGGCTAACTAATCAATTAACATTAGAGGTCTTCACTTCGGGCTTCTCCTGTTCAGCCTCTTGCACTTTCATCTCCGTCTTCGTTCCCTTCATTGACTTGTATTACGCACTCATGAAGGTGCCTATGACTTTATACTTGTGCCTGCAGTCAGTGGCGGAGCCAGAAAAATGGCCCTGTGGTTCTCAATCAACCGATTCTCCAAACGCTGCACTGCCAATGAACCGTCAAAGACGTCACCCCTAAGGACATGGCCAGCCGGCCAGGTGTGTAGTACACTCCAATATCAGTGTACATTTGGGCATAGCTCGTGTCACCTTGCCTTTTGTGCAGCTCAAATCCAGGTTTCGGATATATCATGGTTTTCAACAGGAGCCTGTAAAATCTGTGTGGGCAAAGCCACATGGGGCACACCTCTTTTATTTATAATTAAAGAGCCATACAATGATCATATGATATATCATGGTTTTCAACAGGAGCCTGTCAGTTTGGTAGAAGAATTTTCCATCTTTACAGCCGGATTTCAACAAAACACATACTTATTGATAAATAAATATTACTGAAAAATAGAAATTTATGGGCAAAATGTATGATGCATAGTTTGTAGCAAAAATATTATCCTGGTAACTATCGTGTAAGCATCAGTGGTGCCTATTAAAAACAACACTTTCATCAATTACTTTTTTATTTTGATTGCACATTTGACATTATTTTACTTACTGAATCATGTGGGCTGACAAATGAAGAAAAACAATATAATCATAGTAGCACAAATAGTAATTTTAGCAGGTCCCAGAAAATGCAAGAAGAAAAAACTATAATCATGGTATTGATAGTATAATCATAGAGCACTTGGCCAGGTCCCAAATGTAGGACAACATATAATATTCATTTGGCTCTGTTTTTACACACCCAAAGCATTCCCTTTAATATTTTTCTGCTTTAGACGTTAGTAGATTCTAAAGAAGTGTTGTTTCATCTTCCCACCCTTTACCCCATTATAGCCATTGTCTTGCCACAGAAATTTAAAAATAACCAAGTAGCAGGTAAACTACAGTAGTGATTAGCCAAGTTTAGAAGTTTGAAAGTTGACACTTTTTTTGTGCTAGGCTGAATCAATTAGGAATGACAACTCTAGCTTAGTTGGAAAATAAAATAACATGTATTCATAATTAAATAAGCAACCTTTAAATGAATCTCCCACACATTGGCTTTTCTTGTTTGATAATCCACAAATGATGTGCTTAGTCAATCAAAGAATTTATTCTAGAAATCATTTTCTTTTACTCTAAATCTTAGCAGAAGGCTGATCTAGTTATTTAACTAAGGTGGCTCACTTACATGCATTCCTTTTCATAAAAAATCCAGCATGTAATTTATTATTCATTTTTTCATGCATTCCTTCCCACCCTAAAGTAAATAATTTCCCTTAGAACAAGAACATAAAAACCTGCTTGATTTTTCTTTTTCCCTCCTATCCTTTTCCTTCCCATCCTGAGAGGATGACAAACTTTTTTTTGATTTACTTACTAAGATATCAAATAAAAACAAGCACATCAAAATTGTTGCTCACAAGACATCATTCCAATTCTAAAAACAGAGCACTAAAATATTATGTACTGAACTCAAAATTAGTTAAATGCTGAATGAAACTCCAGAGTTAAATATGGAAGTTAAGGATAATAGGTGCAAAAACATATATGAATAGACTCAAAAGTTTACAAGGAAATAAAACTTATTTGAATAGATATTATTTCAAATATAAGTAAAAAATACTTATATAATACGTAGTATTTTTAAGAAATAAGTGCAGCTATGCTCATACTATATTATTTTTAAAACAAGGATAATATATGTGAAATAACAAGTATTTTATACATGTATTTAAAAATATCAAATAACATTATTGATATTTTAGAATATTATGATATTTTAGAATATTATGGGTGTGTTTTCAATGCTTACTATTATCATAGTTAATTGATTATTGTGCATAATAATAACCCTTATTTTTTATTTTTTATATTATTTATATATTTATTAATATACTAAATTATGAACGTTGACCAGGTTTTCCCGATGTTGACCGGGTTGGCCCGTCGGGTCCGGGCTGATCAGTGACCCGATCATTCATCCGGGTTGCTTCCCGGTCCGGTTCGTGTAAGTTGTAACATATGTTCATGGAACTGAAGTACTGAACATCCCCCCAAGTCCCCAACCCACACATATGCCATATTCAACACCAGCTATGGATCCCCATGCCATCTTTACCATGTGCTTGAATATGCGGACAGACATCTTTATGGATATGCTACTAAATTCTCACATCTACAATTTGTGTCGAGACTAATGAGCATCAAGGTTAGAGGCTAGTGTGACTGAACTTTTGTTATTGCTTAGAGACATTCGTAAAGGCCCCAACACCATCCATGTCCATCATATTGAGACTTGCATACCTAGATGTATGTTGTTTTGGAAAGACGACAAGGACTTACACAATTGGAAATTATGTGGAGAAGAAAGATACAAGAACAAAAAAGGTATAGGCGATTGTGAAACACGTAAGCTAACAGCCGTAACCATCATCGATATTTGCCACTAGCAAAGGTTACAAAGATTATATGCTTTTGTTGTTACTGCGTGTGAAATGATGTGACATAAGAACCACAAGTCACAAGAAAGTATGATGTGTCATCCATTAGATTCACCTGCATGGAAGAATTTTGATACCACATATCCCAGATTCGCTAAAGAGGCACGTAATTTTCGTTTCGGATTACATACTGATGGATTTGAACCACATGGACAATATGGTAAGAGTTATTCATGTTGGGTTATATCGATTACTTACAACTCGCACCTGCTGTGCATGAAAAGTCCATATATGTTTTTAACGTTGATAATTCCTGGATCAAATGACCCTAAAAAGAAAATTGATGTTTTCATGCAACCATTAATTGATGAATTGAAGATATTGTCGGACATTGGAGTTGTTACTTTTGACGCAGCATGTAACGTATTATTAGGTTGCATGCTTCTATTCTATGGACGATTAATGACTTTTCTGCGATTGATATGCTTTTTGAATGAAGTAAAGCTGGGATAATGAGTTACCCTATACGCATGGAGAATACGAGTGTTTTTTATCTACACTGTAGTAGGAAGCCATGCCACTTTGATTGTCTTAGAAAGTTCTTGCCTCTTAATTATTCCTATCGAAGGGATAGAACATGTTTTTTTAAGAGACAAGATAGAGAGAAGTGCACCGCCACTTCGTTTGAGAGGGAACAAACTTTAGGAGCGTGAGAGACCCATTTCATCCTCAAATTCATGCAGAAACAACCCATATTGTGGAGGCCTGGAGGGTCAATCACTACTACTGATCATAAGAAAAGATTGGTAATTTACATAGATACTTAGTAATTTACATTAAATAAAAATAAATATATCTGACAGTATGTGTTATTTCTGCATAATTCAGACGATGAAATGAATCTGACATGCCCCCAAACTCCGCTCCAATTCAAACGAGGTGGTGGTGCACTTCTCTCTATCTTATCTTTTAAAAAAGACGTTTAATCACTTTAATAAGAGTGGTTAAGAGGCAAGAACTTTCTATGAAAGTCAAAGTGACATGGCTTCCTACTATACTTTAGATAAAAAGCACTCATATTATTCATGCATATAGGGAAATTCATTATTCCAGTTGTACTCCACCCAAAAAGCATACCATATACAGGAAAGTCACTAGTCAGTCATAGAACAGAAGCATGCGACCTAAATAATTCATTATGTGTTGTGTCAAAAGTAACAAGTCCAATGTCCCACAACATCATCAATTAATCAATTAATGGTTACATGTAAACATCAATTTTCTTTTTAGGTTCATTTGGTCCAGGAACTATCCGTGTTAGATACATATATGGACTTTTCATGCACATACCTCGTATGAGATTGTAAGCAATCAATATAACCGATCAACATGAATGATTTTTACCAAATTGTCCATGTGTGTAAATCCATCATTACATATCATTGAACGAACACTACGCTCCTCTTTAACGAATTAAGGATATGTAGTATCAAAATTCTTCCATGCAGGTGAACTTGATGGAAGACACATCATACCTTCTTGTGACTCGTGGTTCTTATGTCACATTGCACACACGCTAACAACACAAGCATATAGTCTCTGTGACCTTAGTGCAAGTGGCAAATATCGAAGTGTGGTTACGGTTGTTAACTTACGTGTTTCACCATTGTCTTCACCTTTTTGGTTCATGTATCTTTCTTCTCCACAGAACTTGCAATTGTGTAAGTCTTTATTTTCTTTCAAAAACAACATGCATCCGGATCTGCAAGTGTCAATATGATGGACATGGAGGCCTAAATCTGAAATTGACATTCTCATGACATGAAAACTCTCTAGGATGGTGTTGGGGCCTTAATGAGTGTCTCTAAACAATAACAAAGTTCGATCACACTAGCCTCTGACCACTTATGGTTGTAGCATGAGAACTCCTAGCCTTTAAATAATACTTTATTTATTAAATTTGTTTGAAAACATGTGAATTGTACAACGTAATATTCAAAAGGAAATAGGGGCGTTATCGTCACACTGGATTCTAACCTAACCGAGTGATTAGTACAATTATATTTTCTAGCAAAAGCTAGATTGAAATCAACAACTTCATCAATTCATCCCTGCAAAAAATCAAGAAAACACAAGAAAACCTAAATTAGCCAGAAATGCAATGTAATGATTTTTTCTTTTGGATTGTTTTCAGTGCCACGTCAGATCAAATTAAGCCAAACTTACAAACTAGACCAGACTAGATCAGACTTCGACATTTATAAAATACACAGAGACCAGACATTTATGAGACCAGACCAGTTCAGATCATACTAGACCAGACTTAAACAGACCAGACCAGATTAATAAATTTCAATCTAAAAGAAAACATCCTAAGGTCCACTCAACCCCGTAAAATAATATAATTTGATACACACACAGATATATATATAGAGAGAGAAATACTCTTGTTCGGAATTTTGGACAGAAACCGCCGTCCGGACGGCGGCGTTTCGGCTTCTTTCCGGTCGACTTTTTGATGAAATTTTTATGTCATGTTCTTCATCAAGTCTAGTTTATCCACAAAACAATTCAGCTAAAACTTCAATGGCGAAGGCCGTCAAATAATTTTTGGAAGTTAACTGTGTTTTATATGTATATTTTGGCGCAGTTATCTTCCAAAAATCATTTGACAGCCTTTCCGATTCAATTTTTAGCTGAAAGTTTTTGTGTATGAACTAGACTTAATGAAGAACATGCCATAATAATTTTATTAAAAAAATCCATCGGGAAGGGTCCCAAATGTCATCGTCAGGACGGAAGATCCGGACTGAAGAGTACTATATATATATATATATATATATATATATATATATATATATATATATATATATATATATATATATAGAGAGAGAGAGAGAGAGAGAGAGAGAGAGAGAGAGAAGATCAGGTGAAAAGTTCCTCTTAAAATGAGAAGTGAGAAGTAATCTCAGCCCTTGGATTTGCATCTAATCTTACAACGCAGCAAACTTATAGACTGAATATACGAACTTATAACCAATAAATCATAACTCATAACGCTCTCAATTGTAATTACGAAAATGCCACTGCATCCAAAAATTTCCAAGGTCTCCAGACTTATTTTTTCGCGGTGGCATGTTTGTAATTTTTTCGAGTGGTCTATAAGTTATGATTTATTGGTCAAAAGTTCCTGTTTTCAGTCTATAAATTAGCTTCGCAGTTCTCAGCCTAAGGGCACTTCTCACCTGATCTGCTCTATACACACACACACACAAATGATCAGGTCCGAACGTTTGGACCTGATCTTCCGTCCGAACACCGCCATTTGGGGCGGTTCCCGGTCGAATGTTTTTATGAAATTTTTATGGTATGTTCTTCATCAAGTCTAGTTTATCCAAAAAAAATCAGCTCAAAATTCGACCGGGAAGGCCTTCAAATGATTTTTTGAAGTTGACTTCGTTTTTCTATGTATAATTTGGCACTGTCAACTATTTGAACTAGTTTTTTAAAAAATGCGCCTCGTCATGATGACCTCTGAACCACCTTCGCCTTTGGATTTTTCAGATCTATTTGAACTAGTTTTTTAAAAATGATTTCGCTAATATCACTTTTCCGGTAGACTTTCCGGCGACAAGGGTGGCTGAAAAAAAAAAAAAAGATGGCCTAGCGGTCGTCTTATTGAGCCACACCTTTTGGTATTTTTCTTTTAATTTTCCGGGCTCTTGAAAATTGGAGTTACTTTTAACGGTCTTTTTCAGACGTTTTTGACGGTGTGACCCTCTTGTGATAACGGAATTCAAACACATGAACCACTTTGATAAAGAATGAAACACATGACCGTATCTGAAAACGGGCGCAACCACAAGTATCTTTTCTGTACTTTTCCCTAGATATAATTGCTTCAATATTAATCTCTATTATAGTTCATAATAATAATATTTTTTTAATAAGTGATTCGGTTACACCAAATGGTCCAGTTTAATATTATAGTGATTAGTTTATCTATTAGGATATTTTCTTTCGGATTGTTTTCAGTTCCAGACCAAAACAGATCAGATCAGACCAAACGTCTTTAGTTATAAAATACAAGGAGACCGGACATTTACCTGACCAGACCAGTTGAAACTAAACTAGATCAGATC